CTTCCCCATTTTTCTTAGAAAGTAATCTATTTTTCTGGGACTAAACAAGGACCCTTGGTTTTACGACTATACGAACACGCAAAAACCGCAGAATGAGCGGTGAGCAAAGTACACACAATTAGCGCGACAGGGTACGAACACAGGAAAAAAAGAGAAGACAGGACAGAGCGCTCTGTCCTGTCTTCTCTTTCTTTCCTGTGTTCGTCCCCTGCCGCGCTAATTGTGTACTATGTTCAACCAACTAGGCCATCAAATTCTTTTGGTGAGCAAAGTGTTGGCGTGAGTTTTAAATATAAATACCGGAGTACGAACAGTGCCGAGATTATTAAACTTTTAATGAGGAATACATTTTTTTGGAAATTAGCTTTTTTTCGCATTCTTCGGTTTTGCGGTGAGCATTTCACCGGCGAGCTTCTCTCCGGTGAACTTTTAAACCCCGCCTTTTCTCCGGTGAGATTTTTTTGGCCGCCCAACAGTGACAGCCGATTAAGGGCTCATCGCAGCCGAGACGTGCAATCGACGAACAATAAAAGGTGTGCGGCTTCTTGTCTAATACATTCGCCTCTATTTAATAGAATACTGAATCAAGAATGTTTGGGTTCGGGTCGAACCAAGAATCTTCAGCGCGAGACTTTCACAACTTCCAAATAGAAACATGTGACGCGCTTCTACCAAAAAGCTTGTTCTGTTTTTAGCTTCACTGAAGACATTTTCGCACTGTTTCTTTTATTACGGTAGAAATCACTCTCCACAAGCTGATATGCAAAGCGATTGTCGAAATTCAAACAAAATCGACGAACTCACGTATGTTTCTTCCGCATCTAAAATATGTAAACATTTTAAATGCATCTCTGCAGAATATTTGAAATTTCCAAATTAAATCATCTCTTCTACTTCAAACAGAAAGAAGTGGTAAGACAGTATCGACCATTTGGCGCTTCGGTAGCTTTCGTCTGCCTGCATTTTCTAACTTCAGGACTCACGCAATGACCGCTTGAAGCGTGAAATTTTTCACCCCCACTTTTGTAATTCAAAACGCCAACAAAAAACGGAACATCCTCCCAATGACGCGCTCTGGCGATCGAAAAATAATGACTCACACCCACCTGCAAAGTATCTTCGCCGCCGAACAAAAGAAGGAAAAAAAAAGAAACCTTTCACTCGCATTTGTGCGACCCCAAAACACCAACAAAGACCGGAACCTCCTCCAAAGGACGCGCTCGGGCGATGAACAACCACGATAACGAGCAAAATATTTTCGCCCGCCAGAATGAAAAAAATAAATAAATAAATAAATAATAAGTTTTGAGAGGAACTCTCCCTCGAAATCCCGACCGTCAACCCGACGGCCTTGAGGATGCAAGGAGTCCGGGGCGTGATAACACATTGCCCAATTTCACGAGGTAGCTTTAGCGACACGCTCATTGATGGCGCCAGCTGACATCTCGATTTCTGTCATTTTGATGGGCCACAGACTTAGTTAAATGTTATCGCAATAAGAATCTCTGGCAAAAAGATATTGTATAGAGACATGTAACAGATATATTCAAAATATCTTGGTCTTCAATATTGTGGCGCCTGATTTTGTATTTAGGTCCTGGTTTTTTTTTAAATGTTCATGAAGTATGGAACGAGAAAAAGGCCTTTAAAAGCAAGTTTAAGCTCCCGCAAAACAAGTTTAACATTTAGATTGGGAAATGTAGAGCCACAATACTACTCAGTTTTTTACGATCTTTCTAATAAAACCATTCCCAGTTCAATCAGTTCGGTGGTGGCTGAGAAAAAATATCAAAAAGTTGCCATTGAAATTCCATAGGGCTAGGGAACTGCGATATTCTCTTAAGGGCAGGAGAATGCTTCATATCGGTGTACAAGTCCACTGGCTGGGAAACGGGGGGTGCATCTTTCAGGAAAAGGCGCATGTGCGCCCGATGCAACTGACTACACCCTTTTTTTCTTAGAGTGAACGAGCTATGACAGAAGGTATTAAAATGGACCCTAACGAGTATTTGAAACTGCAGTGGGTCATCCTGGAATAGTTTCTGCAGCTTCATTCGCGCGTAGAACTGAGAGCCGCACCACAAACCAAACAGAACACAATAATTTGCCAATTTTATTTTTTTTAAAAAAAAAATAACTTTTCACATGTACCACACTAAACGCTTTTCAAGCTAAAGGGAGACGAAGTGGTTTTGTATTTAAGGAAAAACACCAAATCGTCTTCATTTGGCCGCCAAGATCACGAATATCGACATTATTTTTCAGTTGGGCGCACGGAGGCTGCAGAGATTATTCTTTAAATTTAATATCAAAGTGCAAGGGGCGTGGCGTCATACTAGGAGTTTTCGGAATCCTTGCTCTAGCGCAATTTCAGCACCAGTCAAAGCTACGCGCGTCCACTTTTGCTCTCTTCGAAAAGGTCATAAATAGACGTCACGACTGACGTCAGTGCGGAAAAATACACCTGGCAAGCTTGGGATTGCTCGCGCTGCCCACACGAGCGACACGTGCTTGGCGGCCCAAAGATCCTAGTTCGACGTCACGAGTGGCCGGTGGATATCGGGTTTTCTCACGTTTAGTATAAATCTTCGTGGAAAATGAACGTGATATTCAAATTCACTGGATAAATATACTCTAGAATTCTCCTCTAACTCGTTTATTTTTTTAATAATTGTTTCAGTTTCTTTTTAAAGGCTCTCAGCTATTCAGTCTTTTCACTACGCGCGCGCGCCGACTGAAATGATATTTTATTCTATTGTAGTCATTTGTTATGTGAAAAACATAATTTTCGTTGTTCCCAAATAAGAAAAAATATGAAATATTTTTTTAACAACTTACGATCAAAAAAGAGGACAAGCGGACTCCGTTCATTTCGACCAATCGCCCGACGAGCCTCGATTGATTTCACGGTCCACGTCATTCATAAGCTGGATTTTTCCGCGGTCTCGGGCATCGCTCTCGTCGGTCCCGGTGTGATCGTTGCTGGTTCTATTCAATTAATTTGTGCGGCGCGCAAGCGAAACAGCGGTCTTATACTTCGTAAAAATTACCTGCAACACACTTGGCGTTCATATTAATCGTTAAACTGAACTTCAGAGTGGTCGTCATGGTCCATTTAAGGTTCTTTTTTTTTTCTTTCTTTTTTTAGCAGATTTGCGTTTGAGTAACGACGAATTCCACTCGTCGTTTTGGTGCATTCCGGGATCGACATTTTGAAGGACGCGTTCGCCACTCGTCGTTTCAGATCAACACGGATGTCTTTCGCACGTCCCTTTGGAGCAGCGCCGGCTGTGAATTAGGGTCCGGAACGCTCAGATCTCGATCGGCTGATCTTCCCGGAGCCGAGTGGAAGCCGATCTCTGGGAGACGTAACTTCCTGCATCGCCGAGCTTGACGGGAACGGCGGTCGACCGATGCCTGATGGCGCTTTCCGGAAATGACGATAGCCCAGCGAGATGGGGAATGCCGGGACGACAGTTGGTCACTCCCGGAGGCCTGTCGTCTTCCGCTGGTGGAGTCGGAGTCGCGGTGGCTCTGCACAAATCGGATGCTCCGTAGTGTATTTAGGCTAGTGATCCAAAACGACCAGGGGAATGGTCGTTTTGACACGCCTGCGACCGCCTACAACGAGTGAACACAGTGGCGTCATCTACCGGGCAGCCCTGGATACCTCCCGGTCTCCCTACAGTTTTGGGTGTCATCTTTAGGCATTACTGTATTATCACGGTTAAAAAGTAGGTTCACTTAAAAACTGAAAATAAATGTACAATAAGGTGAACTCGCACCCCTAACTAAAGCAAAAAGAACAGCGTGAATCCCGTGACGGTGACAAGGGACAAATGACCCAATGTTCCCGGATTCAGCTTCTTTTGTGCATACTCTGTAGTCTAGAACATTCCGAACGTTAACGAGCGATACGTTACAAGATGAGAGTGTTCTACAAGATGCGAGAAAGATAAAATGAGAAATTTGGCTGGAGGGGCCTTAGCCTCGTGCCTTCCCGTGGGGGACGCGCGATGCCCACTCGGTCGGGTATATGTTAATAGGAATCACTTGAACAAACGTAGCCCTCGAGAGCTGTACTGACCTTCCCTAGCAGCAAGTCAGATGCCGCTCATAAAGTACACGACGGTTTAAACTCAGTTTTACGTGTCATCCCTGTTATTCAGTGAATGGAATCCCACTTTTTTTCTATCGGAACGACGAGAGATTTGAGGAAGCCATTTGCCGAAAGCCACTGGTGTATTTTTCCGCGTCTCTGAAGGGACCGGTTTCGTGACTTTAGCTTGTCTCGTTAACCGCGGTGTTTATGTGTGGCCGGCATGTGATGTCATATTACATACTTATTTTCTTGCAGCGATGCAGAAGCCTCGTGCTCTGCAATCAATGGCCACCATAATGGCCGCTGATGTGACGTCCGTGCAAGCCATGTTTAGTCTCCGCCGCAATAAGCGAACCGCAGCGTCTCTTTTTTGACACGCTTCAATAGACCCTTTTCAAAAGTTAGTCTACCTACCCCGTGCAGAGCTAAACTCGACGCTCGAATGGCGGCACTACGCAGCTTCTACACCCCTGGAGAAGCGAGCGTCTTTGAAATCATGCCCCAGAGAAGCGGAGAATCCATTCTAGCAAGTTGGTCCTTGTAAGTGGCCTTTGATTCACAAAATCGGGAGTGTTTGAAGGTAGAAAATGTTGATCATCTATCACCGTCATTAGTGCGGAGAAATTGGAGCAATGGAGACTGCCACGAGATGGATCTTACTTTTGTAAAGGGTCTATGGCCGGTGTTAATGCTCGTTTCGTGCAAAAGCTGCCTGTAACAACATAGTGTATGCAACTTCCTGTGTCCGTCATTTGACTTATTGTTTTCAATATCTCGCATTTTGCGTAATATGTTAAAGGGCACTTATCTTTTTCACCCTTTAAAAAGGTTCCTGACAAAGGCATTCTTTCATTTCCAAATATACATTTCTGCCTTACGGACGTTTTTTTGACGGAAAATGTATTCTGCTGCACTCATTATTTTCAGCGTTGCTACTGCTCACGCCGGTGATGTATTGATTCTATTTATGCAAACGCTTCTGCATGGCGTTTTTCTAAGTGACGTAAAATCGAATTTCACATTTTTCCTGGGCTTAAACCTCCGAGCTTCTGGGCATGATCAATAGTTATCATAGAAATTCCCCACACAATATTGCAGTCGAGAAATAATTTGTATTACGGCATGCACCATACCCCCGAAAGGCGCAGGGTTTAAATAGGCTTGGGTAGACATACTGCATTGATTGTATTCATAGATTCCTTCAGAGTCGCTGACAAATAAGACGCGCAGGGTGTGGCTTAATATTATAATCTTGATTCTTGCTTTGCGATTGCTTCTTCTTTGTTCTTATCCTCTAATACCGCAATCCTACTGGTTGAGAGGAAATAATGAGATGCTCGTCAGTCAGCACGCCCTTCACTGAGGTTGTGAATGATTGTAGGAGCGGCCTCATATAAATATATGCCGCTATATCTCCCGATAACAGGACGGGTTGATTCGGATACTTTAATACGTTGGCAGTCCATCGGCTGTCTCAAATAGCGTTCAGGCTCTTTAAATCGACCGCAAAATTCGGTTTCTTAACTCATCGCGCTACGATTTTGTGCAGCGTTGCCCACAGGCGGCGCATATTTTTCTATTAAATTTGCAAAGTGAACTTACCCGAGGAAAAAGTAAAGAAAGTAATAGTCTTAATTCCTGTGGAAACCCAGCGAAGCCACCGTTCTTCAATCAATAGGGCTCCCTGTTGTTTGGAGACTGGTGACTTCGCTACGTTTCCAGAGGAGTTAAGCCTTTTTTTACATTTTCCTCAGGTAAGTTCGCTCTTTGCAAATTTTATAGAACAAACGCACCACTTGTGAGCAAAACTGCAGGACATCGTAGCGCGATAGGTTAAGAAACCGACTTTTGCGGTCGATTCAAGGAGTCTGGCCGCTACTTGATACATCAGGTACTATATCCAAATGTCTTCAAAAACACAAGCAAAATAAAATTGCGTGTAGGTTAACGCAAACCTAGTGATTATATGTTTTTATATCTGTGACATAGAACGTGCCAACGAAGTTCTTGTACTCTTAACCAAATATGGTAATTATTTCTTTTTTATATAGATTTGTTAAAGGAACTTAGCTTAAGCAGCGTTCTTAAGTACTGCTGGCTCCAAAGAAAGGTTTGGACCCAGCAGTACGTAAGCCGCGTTCCGCGTTCTAAAAAAGTTTGTCCGTCTTTTTCCGCACTTTTACGTCATATAATTTCAATGCCGTCGGCCAGGATCCTGGCGGTGTCGCAGCGGTGCTTGTAGGAGCCAAAAGTATCAGCTTTCAATAGTAATGTTTGCCGGGAATTCTAGCATCAAGCGCAAGGGTTGCGACATCTGAGAGCATGACACTTTGGCTCGCGTGAGATCGTTTGTGGACGCTTCGGGATTACTTTTAAGGTATGGGTGCGATAGGATCCTGAACGCACCAGTCACAGATGAGTTTTAAAGGCATCACTCCACAGTTCAGCCAGCTAAAGGGCGTCACAAATAGGTAGAAAGAGATACCGAGGTCATCATACCGTAAGCAGTTGTTCGCTTATTCAACGTCTGACGTACGTCAGGTCTACGTAAAGACCATGCACCTGGTTCCTCTTATTACACCTACAAATTAAGAGAGGATGCAAATGTGGCTTATTAATACAGAACGCAACTGCATTGTACGTGCACAGAATGCACAATCACATCATGTTTGCGTATTGCCGAGTTGCAAACTGCCAGAAATCCTTTCACGTTGTTGGGCATTTGAGAAAATTACTCTTCGTGCTTTTCCTAGCCTCTGTTTCTTCAGATTATGTGTACAATCGGAGTTACCAAATGTATGTGACCGTCCCAAAACGATGTTCCATTCTTCATGGTGCCGCACAATTAGAGCACTAAGAGCGAAAAGTTTGACAGATATCCAAAAGGTTTTCGCAAGAACAGAAACGTAGGCGTGGTACAGAAGATTAAGATTATAACCATTATTAATAAAAACTTGGCAACCAAGGTAATATTGATTTTTCAGTCCCTTCATTTTGTGTGGTATGGCACTCTAATAGCATTTTGAAGTCTAGCAAGGCAGCATATATTCTCATGAGCTGTATATTAAGAAATGCATATGAAAGAATAAATAGTCTTAACGAAACACGATCGGAAGATGCACCCCCCCCCCCCTCCCCCGATTTTCCGAATTTGTTCCGTTTAAACTATTCACATGAGTATAGGCTTACTTCCCGTGGTTTGCTTTTATTGCATTACGTTTCCAACGTCTTGTCATTGCAGAAGGGCTTTCTTATTTTTGTTGAGTTTATTGTCCTTTGTTTGTGAAAGGGAACTTTGCTGGGAGATCTAGGCACGATTTTTTTTTTTTATAAGAAAACACCGTGACTTGTGACTACCGTTTTGATTCTCCCTCTGTACCGAGTAGTTTTTTGCGAGTATGCAACGGTCGGATAACAGGAGCGGTTACGTTCCAGGTGTCGTGTATCCGGTTCTGATTGAAAGCAGAAGCGGCAACTCAACAAGCGCTGTTCAACTTTCTAAAGACTACGTCATAGACTTGGAAGAATCCAGTGTTTTAGGGGACAGTCTGTATTTTTCCGAGTCTAGGTATGGAGAGGTGAATCACGAATTGGTAAGGAAAGATTAGCTTTCACAAGAAAGCATGCTTCCGCCTCATTGATTGAAATTCACTTATTCTAATTAGAAAATAAACATTCCACATGTTTATTCGCTCAATAGTAATTTGATGTGTCCGCTAGTGCCTTTGGAGGTTTTCGTACATTTGAAAGTGCCGTTCAATTAGAATTGTCTCCGCTATAATAACGCAAATAACGCACATTTGTTTAAATGACGTGCCGACGCCCATGATTTCTTTTCTGCATTTTTTGAGAAAGTTTTAATTCCTCGATTATGTATGCAATCATTCAACTCGATATTCGTTCTGCGTGTTGTTGAAATTCATTGAATGTAATCATTTACTGCGTTTTTATAAAATAACATGGTTTGCAAAAGAAAAGCATGAGCAATTTCAGTTTGTGAAGGTGGATGACCAGCAAAGTTGTTTAGCACATGACACAGACGTGTCAAAAAATTTTGAACAAAGGTACGTCCGGATTTTTTGTCTTGATCGGTGGTCATCGTGACGAGTCGGAGGAAAAAAGACACCCGCGACGGGACCGCCAATCCAGGAGAGCGGAAGGAACGGACACTAGGCTCGCTAGCGCTTCGGGCGACTACAAGGAGAGGGCGGTGTGAGAGTAGACATAGCCGACGCGGGTCGCACAGCGCGAAATCTTTGAGATACTTTTATTGTCTACTATTTTAATTATCTACCCGAGAGTCTACAGATCTCGAAAATGGAGCCTATTCATAACTAATCTACTGAAAATGCATATCCAAGTAATGAGAGATAAGCCTCTGCATAAAATGAAGCGATTTTGCACCCCATTCGGAAACTGAGTTTTGATTGATTCACACAAAAAATCCACGAAACCCTATCCATAAATAGCTTGGCTATAAAAATAACCATTTAGCATTTCAGCTGCCACTATTATGAATATCACTTCCCAGTTATTTTACTCATACAATGTTCATTTCAGATGGATACTACAGACATACGTAACAGTGTGTATGAAAATTCGGAACACAAAGCATCATTTACAATTACTGAAACAGATGCGGGAATTGAAATGGTACGTACAAATATTTTTTTAACGTATATATTCGTATAGGAACAAGAAACACGATTATACAAATGAACAGGAGGTTATGCAATCGTTATTTTTAAATCCTGTATTTGGTAACTACATAGATTTTCGCGAACATTTTATAAACCTGTAGTGCTTTTTTAAGTTTCGTAAAAATGAAGGTGTACTAAGCATATTGGAAGTTTACGTTGCCACAGCGTCTAAAGAACATTATTTATGGCAACTTTAAAATAAATATTTAGAATTCGTTCTCCATAAATTACTTCCTAACAAATTGAATTTTTAATAAGGATAAAATGTTTGTTTAGCAGTGCTTGCAATACTCAGAAATCTTTCACTTCTTAACAGGAAGGCTACCTAAACTTTACGCATGGGATTGAGCCATTGCGAATACATGACAAATCCGGCCGAATCCCTCACAGAATATTTCCGCTCCCGACGCCTGAGGAGGCAATCCACTTGGAAAGTAAGTGACAGAATCAAACACTATACAATAGATATTCGTTGAAAATTCGATCTTTAAAGGCTAGACTTCTTGAAGCAAAAATGCTTTGAAATTTTGAACGTATGACCGAATTCCTTCCTTCAGCGTTCGTTTCGCGTGCGGTGTCAATACTGGTACGCTCTCAGTTATTTGCCATATATTCTCTCGATGAATTAATTCACCTCCCTTTTTTGTCTAACAACACATTGTGTTTAAAACGTGGCGAAACGAGCGCATTAATTGATTATCATTGGAAAATGAAAATGAAAAGTGCTTGCAAAGGCGACGGCGCCTCAGTATTTATTTTTTTTTTACTAGCATCATTTCAACGGCTTCTGTATTAGTGATCTGAGTATGTAATCCGATGTTCAGAGTATTCAGAGTATCATAGTATGAATGATCTCAAATTGTACCAATAATCAGCACTTTCTGAGATAACGGAAGAGCTCAGTGGTTTGGCAAAGGGAAAAACGTTCTTATTTTCTTATACTCAAGCTAACACATTTTAAGTGCGTTCAAAGTAGACGTTCTATTTTTCCTAAATAATTTAATTGGTAGCACTTAAGAGTTCCAAGAAAATATGCTTCTACAACTTATATTTAGGACGCGGAATATACTGATAATTATAACGTCCCTTATATTTTTACTTAATTAAACTTGCTTTTTAGGTAACACATCAAAAATATCACCTCGTCGTCTTTTCTTTCAAACAAAAAGTGTTATCTACTTTATTTTGGCATGGTTCAGTTGTGAGGTGATGGTATTTAGATAAAGAGATATGCGCTGATATGGGATATTGTAACAATTTGAGAAAATTCCCTTGAAGATATCTTAACGGCTAAAAACCACAAAAACGGGCCAGAAAAAAAGAAAAAACAAACAAACACTAATTGACAGCAGAACACGAACAGTTCCTCTATAATTTTGCTGAAGAAGCATGCCTTCGAAAAGTCATAACCTTCGACTTTGACTAATTTTTACATTCAGTATCACTATGATTCTTACAGTTCCCGTTGAAGAACGTTCCGATGAAAGTCTACAGCCGAAAAGTAAGCTTATTTTGTTTGTAAAACATGTACCATTTCTCAGCAGTCCTCTCAACCAATTCTACAAACACCAAGGAGCAGGCTGCAGTTCTGGTTACCTACTGGCCATTTTCTATCGATGATGCAATTTCCTGTACACTGTAGAAACTCTAATTTTTCTGCTTTAGCTTTTCGCTTTGAACTAATTTGGTAGACGTCTGCACGTGCTGCGCGAGTAACTACAATTCGAGACCGCACTATGATGATATAATGAATTTCAAAACTTTCAATTGGAGAGACTGTTTCACTATCTTGCACAGAAAACAAGATCGACTTATCTGGGATCGTGCATATTTAAAAAAAAAATGATTACACAGTTAATTCAATACTTGCGAAGGACTGAGGACATGCCATGATTTGAAACCTTCTAGGTGACACTGCAGAGCTACCCACCGTGTGGAGACCTGAAATGTACGTCATGTTTGACAGTGTAATACACAAGTCTCTCAAGGAAAGCAAATTGATACAGGCTCAATACATCATAAGGCTAATGAACATCGTGCGTATGGTTTACATTTGTTCTTGTTCAGAAATAATATAGTAATGTCTGTTGTCATTGACCAAGCAAAAAGTGCTTATTGAGGTTTTCGTACTCCGATTCCTGACACGTGTTCGAATGCCTTATTTTTTCCTCGAAGGTGAATGCTATCTTCAAGACGGTTCCCAAGCCCCGAATAAACCTCCAGCTTGTTGGAATACTCGGGTTTCAGGTGCGTATTGATTGTCCAACCCCCAAAGATTGGTATCTCTAAGTTTGAAAGTCTTGCTATTGCCGCCAAGAGTGCAACACAATTGTAAACTCAAATATGTTTAGAAGAAATTTTTTTTTCTCAGTTAAAGTGGACTTTTATAGTTGGAACCGTTTTGACCAGATTGCGCTTTGCCAATGGGACTCGAGTGAGAGGAAAACAATGACTATTTGTTTAACTATAAATTATTCGATGCCTATGACTTAAGTCAGATTCATTTGCGTTATACCATATTAAATTATATAACATCAGTATAGCCATAAACTAGTGCATTTGATCACTAGATGTATTGAAAATGAAACAAAACAATTTCAGTTATGGTATTTGAAAACAGAGTTCCGTCGAAGATGAACGCACTTGATGCAAGGTCTTTCCAGCTTTTCTATTCACTCTTAAAACGGAATTTCTTCGAGACTCTCAAATACGAAATTGAATTCCTCTGTTACCTTTTCATTCGACCGAAATTTCTTTCTAACCAAAACATTTTGAGTTTTGAGAAAAAAATAAAGTGTGAGAGAATTCAAACTTCTATTCTGTTATGTTTTTTTTTTCTGTTTTTTTTTCTAATCGGAGCAAATACCGAATGCAGATCATCCGCTACGCATTAAGAAAATCCGACACCCACCTTGCGGAAAGCTTTGTTTCCAATTCAATTCATTACGTAATATGTGATCTGCTGGTTGACAAAGATACCCATGGCTTCCTCTATTTTGCGCACTTTTATTCGGCGACATGCAAAATGTTTCGTCTGCAGTGTCTGATGTGCTGATCGTTTCACTGTGTAGCGAACCTGATTCTTCGCATAATGTGTGCCACAAAGCTAGAGCTTCGAAACCCCCAAAACTCACTGTTGAAAACGAAGGCGATAAATCTCAAGGGCATCAAAGCTGAATTCATTGTATTTTATACATATATATATATATATATATATATATATATATATATATATATATATATATATATATATCAGTGTGTCGAACCGAAAAACATACGGGTTCGGTTACAGTTTAGGTTAAGGTAAATTTATCTTGTTCCGGTTCAGTTCTGGTTCGATTAATTCGATCCGCGAACCGGTTCGGAAATTATAAATGACAAATTGCTACATCAAAACAAATTACAAATAAGACATCTGATATCAGCACATACGAAACGGGATACATCGTAGTGTAAGGCTCAGGGATTTCTACCAGGAATGGTTTCTTTATGTGCACTCAAAGGTTACCTCACCGACGTTTACGCATTCGGACTTCATCTAATTGGGTCCGACGCAGTAGCTGTAAAATCCGCGACCTCCTTACAAACCCACTTACAAGTAGAACACGCTAACTATCCCGCCACCTCGGCGTGTTAGCAATTGAAGGAACAGTGGGGAAAAAATACAGCTTTCTTTATTTGAACTAGCCTTCGGTAACTCAAATTAGACCCTTAAAGAAGTTTTCATTAAACAAGATACGGAATATGAAAAACACTTCACCGAACGCAACGCCAGAAGGACGTAATAGGATAAATAATAAAATAGAAGAGTTCGCTGTCTCACAAATATGTTAGCTTCTAAGTGCCTATACAAAACCGGATGCATTATTATCAAACTCCACAGCCTTTTCTTTTCTCATTCCGATGGAAGCAAGCTTCAAGAACTCGCGCGTTCTAGAAACGTGTTATGAAATGAGCACACAGCAGCATTTAGGATTTACGAGATTGTAGAAAAAAGAAATCCCGTGACACGACTTTTTTATTTTTTTTTTTTTTTTTGCACAGCCTTTTAATTCTCTTTCTTCCGTGCAAGCTGCGACCAGCGCAATACTGGTTCCTATGTCAAGATTCATGGATGCAGGGTTTGTCAAGATTCATGGATGCAGCGTTTGTATTCCTAAGACTGGGTGGAGAAGAAAAATATGAAAGCGAGGTGTGTGTCAGTTGACGGCACTTAAAAAACAAATGGCATTGATAGTACATTCATTGTCAACAGCGCGTGGCCGAACCGTTTTGACATGAGCCGGTAACCGTTATTTTTTTTTTTCCGGTTCAGTTCCGGTTCGGGTTCATCGCGATAACAATATAACGGTTCGGGTTCGGGTTCAGTTCCGGAAAAAATACAGGTTCGTTTCCGGTTTTCGGTTCGGTTCCGGTTCGACACCCTGATATGTGTATATATATATATATATATATATATGTGTCTATATATATATATATATATGTATATATATGTATATATATATAACGAAGTGAAGAACTCACGGTGAAAAACAACAAAGAGCGGAAGTATAATCCACAGTTTCGCCGAGAGACTCGCCTTCGTCAGGAGATGACTTTCAAGTGAGGGCATATCGCTGCGGCAAAAAAAAAAAAAAGTCAAGAGCTAAGAGGGAAAAAAAAGGGGGGGGGGGGGGTAGGCTACGTACGCGTTTCTACATAGTAAACAACTTGACCTGAGCCCGGTCCTCCTGCAGGGCGGCGAAATACAAAGTGCGCCTGAACGCTGACAGCAGTGGCTACAATAGGTCGTGAACGGGCGACGTCTTCTTGGCTGACGGCCCCCAACGAGCCAGTGCATCCCAGCGACGGAAACCCCTGGGGCGCCGTGCGTGTCAAGGAAACCGAAAATTCAAAAAATCGCAAGAACATGTTCGCCATGTCTTTCAACAAAAAAAAAAAAAAGGAGAGAAGGTGCGGGGTTGTTGAGGGGGGGGGGGGAGGGGGGAAACAGGGTACGTTTTTGAGTTGTGGTTAGTGAAACATGAAACACGCATGTAAGAGAAAAGCACGGGAACAGCACGGTAGCATAGAAAATAACATTCACAATATAGGAGTCGTAATAGAATTATCATAACGTCCAATTCCAGTCGAAAATACAGTACCACTATGAAAGGGTAGTCTAGGTTAATGCTTTTAATAATGCAAGTGTTCCTGGACTCTCATTTATTCATTTTTCTATAGTATTATATTTGTATATGAGGTATGACTCTCGCTGTTCGCGCTCCCGGTTTGATTGAAATCCAGTTTCCAGTAATGTCACGTATAGTTCGTCGAAAGAATGCTTTGGGAGACGGAGGTGTTTTGAAAGAGGAAGGCCAGGATTAGTTTTAGAGTGAGGGAAGTTCCTGCGATACGGTTCAGAGCCACGCAGCACAGGACACCACAACCGATGGCAGAGTCTTCGACCCTGACTGCAATGATTTCCCGACGCTCGCTGACAGTACGACGTCAAGAGCCGACGTCTCGACTCCTCAGGGCTCAAGACCCTCCACAACACAACGCTACAACCTTCGGAGGATCGCCTCGCAAACCCCTCACCCAAAAGAAGACTGACTTGTTCCCGCTGAGTCCAATTCCTTTCCAACAAACTACAGTACCACCTTCCTTAAAGTACGAAAATTAACTGACAAGCGAATTAGGCATGAACTCCACAAATCAACTCTGCAAGTGTACCTGAGCGCGGGGGTCCCCCCGAAGGGCATGTCACTGTCTCTCCCTCCGGCTATTACAAACCTCGATCGATGCGACCGCTCGGAATGGGATTCCGTCCTTTTAGAGGCGTCACTTAAACTGGTGAAAATAGCAATCAGTCATAGCGAAAAACAAGTAAAAAAATGTAACACCTCAATAGCCACTATTATCCGATCGAATAACCCGCTTTCGGCGCATGAAACAACCTCCTTACAAGAATTTGAAAGAAAGAAACGCCGCGAGCTTGAAACAATCAAATCACGAAAACTGCAGCGAGACAAAGTACCACACCCCATACTACCTCCATCCGCACCAAACCAAAATGATGCCGGTATTTAGCCAAACACTATAATTAGAGATAACATGCGTCGAGACGCAGATAACCCTTCAAATATTAACGAGGCGAGTGGTGCATCCACTATCGTTAATTTGTCTGGAATGACTCTATCAGCCGAAGAAGGAAAAGTTATCTCTAAGGGACTAAACTTTTGCCCTGCCACTGGTTACATTGATGAGTTCCACGTTCTCCGAGACCTAGATAACTTTGCCAGAAATTTAAGGTTGCGGGAATACTTTGTAGATAAACCGTCCAACTCCAAAAACACACAGCCACGTCCAACCGGTAGCGTCGTTACTTGGAACGCGTTACCCCAGCACTGGCGCTGAGTCATAAAACGCTGAACAGTCTTTGTGTCACAGTACGGAACTCTGTGTCCCCCCCCCCCCCCCCCCAACTAAAAAAAATAACGTTGCACTCCGACATACAACACGACCCAATCAACTGTGAGACATCAGTTAGAGGCGATGTTCGGGTTTGTATAAAGGAAACGCAGAGAAGAAAAGCGCTTTTACCTTGAAGGTTACATGTGTCACAAACAGCGGCAGAAAGCAAACGGAATGGTTTCGTCTCGTTGCCTTTACAATTCATCAGAATGCGCGGCTTCGATTGTGACCAAATAGGACAACGTGAAATGCAGATCCCGTAAGTTGCTATATTCGATTTGTGTGTGACGGTCTTTTTATGCATGATAGAATCCACTGCTATTTGATTCGTTTCTTACTTACTCTTATTACCGCCACCAGGTACATGTTAAGGGCCGTTAACATGCCATTGCGCATTTACGCTCCTTTTACTTATAGGCGACCATAACCATGAAGCAGACGAGCCGAGGCTTGTGAGGGACCAGCTGCGCTTGGCGCTGAAAACGTCAGCAGCACCCAGACTGAATACGCTTAATGAAGGTTGCTTAACGAAGAACTTCTCCAAACCTGCTCTGCAGTTTCCTTCCAAATTATGATATCCATCACGCCTACGAAGTATCATGCAAAACGAAATCACTAAATTTATTCTAGGTGCCAGATGAAGACGCAGCAGATTCGATTCGATTTATCGAGAAAGGCACTCAACGCAGCCAGCGGTTCCTTCATCAGCCGACACTCCGCAAGACAACGACGCCAACAAAAGGACAAAAATTGCAGAGCCCTTCTTTATAATCGACGACCGCAGAGACCCTCGTCTTGAATAGTTGCCTTTGCCACACGAGATGGCATGCAACGGCTGTCGGCAGTTAAAATTATTTTTTGCGGACGGGACTTTTTTTTTGTTTTTGTTGTACCCTACATGTGTGACCAACTTGTAACTCTGCATGTCGTAAGTGACGGAGTGCCTCGCACAGCCGTTTGGTTTTGTTTTCGGGTCGGTTAGCACCAAATCTACGCCCGTGCGTTTGAAGGGCTAATATTACGTTCACATCTGCTGGGATTCCTTCCTCGACTCCTGAAAGTTACATGGCGGATTTTGAGCAAGCGCTTTTTGGTGGTCTCTGTGTCGTGTTTCCCCAAGCTGCTTATGCTGGGTGCCACTTTCAGTTTTGCGCAAAAAATGTGGGCTTCCGTTCAGGGGGCTGGGCTCCAAAGCGCATACTCAAGAAACAGCCAGCTAAGGGCGCTCATTCGTAAGCTCGTGGCACTTTCCTTTGTTTCGCCTTCTGAAGTCCCTCGACCCTGGGCGTTTCTGCGTCGGGGCATATGTTGCTTGGTATTCCGGAGCTCATTGGATTACTTGATCACTTTGATGCGACTTGGATGAGGGCATTTTCCAACTGGAGCGGTGGAACCATCACGGAAACAGGGGATCCAGAACCAACTACCATATGGAGGCATGCCATCGAAAAATTAAAGCCATGTCGGGAAGATCGCACCCGAACCCTTTCGCGCTCATTGATTTAATCGAGAGAGACGAGGCCCAAACAAGAGTCGTCTTGCTTCAAATTGCAAACGGGGGAGCCGTACGTGTGCGAGGCCGCAAGTGGGCTAATAAAGTAAGAAAACTGGCGGGGATTGAAGTATCATGTTGAATTAACAGCGCAAATACGACGAGAAAGGATAGACAAAGGAGACAAGATAGAGCGCTGATCACGATCATCTGCTGGGCTAGTTGGCCGATCAATATGTTGAATTAACTAGCCTTCCTCGTCCTGTTTGCGCTGTTAATTTAACATAATGATTAACTATCTAGCCCACGAGATGCTCGTGATGGAGATTGAAGCACGTTTTCACAGTGGCGTCATTTCGCTTTTTTTTTTAATTTTTGAACTATGCGCAAGCTTCTTTTGAAGTACATGCATTGATGAGAGCTTTAGCCGGAGAAATAAGGGTGGGAAAAATGTTGCAATCGACACGTTGTACCAGTGTGTGATGTGTGAGAAATAAAACCAAGATTCGTTTGTCGCAAACAGATGGTATCCTTCTAATCGAATGCAGAAAAATGGTTTCGAACAAGCCTGAAAGTAGAAAGGGGAGGCGGAAAGTGGGGGGGGGGGGGTGCTTGTGCTTGCCTGTACGCATATCTTATATCTGATGGCATGTTGGGGCCCTGAACAAGGTAAGAAAGGAGCGTCGGTCTGTGTTGCGAAGAAGGGTTCCTATGGTTCGGTGAGGGTAACTAAGAAGCCACTTACTTTCGCCGTGACCTTGCACTATTTGAATGCCGCGATTACATAACACCGTGTGAATGAATAAGAAAACGAAGACATATGTCTCAAGAGCAATTGGGGATTAATCTGTCTAAATCAAAGTTACGAAATCGCTTTTGTTCGCGCCGTCAAAGCCGTCCGTTTTATTTCGAAATAACCAATCGTTTCTTATTTCAATTTTGTAAAATTTTTATTTCTGTCGTGACAGAAGCGCTGTCGAAACAAAACTAGCTCCTTTCTGATTCGTTTTTGCAAAGGTCCGTATGTTTCATCTATCTTTTTTTTAGCTTAGTAGACTCAATGCCAAGTATTGCGCAATTCTATAACCCCCCGCCCCAAATTAGAACATTATTGTGTCTAAAAAGTACTAAATTTCGATGATAACCAAGCACCCTTTTCAACGAACGTCTAATGTGTGATTGAAATAGTAATAAAACAGAAGTACTTTTGTTTAATTCTTTGTGCTTACAGACAAAAGAAGATGAGTATTTTATTGTGGAGGAAGATAACCAAGTCGCAGCGGTTGAGTCAATAAAAGCCTTTGGACAATTCACCGCAAACACCACGTTCCCAAGGCTTGCAGATTTCTACCTGATGCTCGTTGGGTAAGCAAGATCACGTAATTCAGCCTGAGGTGCAGTTGTGCCGTGAGGCAGAGATAACATATCCTAGTTCTCTATGGCGATTCAATGGTCCCGAAGTATATGTGATAGATTAAGGCGGTCTTGCGCCAATTTTCGGGTTTACAATAAATTACGCACAACTTAGATAACATCTTTGACTTCCATAACCCCCTAAAACACGGATTAGCTTTTATTTCAACTCAAAGGCAGTCGCAAAATTTTTTTTTTTTTTTTTTTTTACAGGAACATCTACAGTTAGCTTTTTCCATTCGTTGCCGGAGCAAGTGGTCACACGATATTCTGTTACGGATTCTAGGCAGGCGAGTGGCAAAACTTTGGCGGAGGCCGGAGGGGTACTACTACAGTGTGATTCAAGGAGAAGCCAGGTCCTTTAAATCGACCGCTAAATTTGGTTTCTTAACCTATCGAGCTACGATTTTGTGCAGCGTTGCTCAGAGATGGTGCATTTTGTTTTGTAAAATTTAGAAAGAGCGAACTTACCTGAGGAAAAAGCAAAGAAAAAAAAAGGCTTAGCTCTTATGGAAACGCAGCGAAGCCACCGGTCTTCAAAGAACACGGCGCCATCTCGCACCGGAGACAAGAGATGGCGCAAGCGGTCGCGACGCCAACTGCCGCCAATGAACGAGCATGCGACGTCTTTAGCAGACAAGGAACTGTAGTTTCTTGTTCTTACCGCGCCTGCTTTTGTTTCTGCGACTGTCGCCGCCTGCGGAACGCGCGCTGCTTTTGAGTCGAAAAGATCGTCTGATAAAGACGACGGCTCTCGGCGCCGTATGCTCGTTCGTTGGCGGCGTTCGTTGCGCTATCTCTTCTCTCCCGTGCGTAATGGCGCCGTGTTGTTTGAAGACCGGTGGCGTCGCTGTGGTTCCATAGGAGCTGAGCCTTTTTCTTTCTTTATTTTTCCTCATGCAAAATCGCTCTTTGCAAATTTTACAAAAAAAAAATGCACCATTTGTGGGCAACGCAGCACAAAGTCGTAGCGCGATAGGTTAAGGAACCGAATTTTGCGGTCGATTTAAAGAGCCTGGCCTCTCTTTGAATCACCCTGTTAAGTTGAGCTATTCACTTCACCTCAGTGATTAGACGCAAACTACTACTCAGATGTTCGTCTAGCTGTTTATTCTCACGAGCCTAACTCGAGTGATTACGCAGTGCTCGTGTCAAATACTCGAGCCTCCTTCGACACTTTACCCCAGATGGTGTGATCCCCGTAACTATGTCGCGAATTTTTACGAAGCAGAATAACATTTTACCAATACAGGGAAGCTCCTGAGCTAATAGTGTTTCCTGGGAGTACAGTAGGATATATCGAAACGTTTTCGAAATGGATATGAAATGAAAACAAAACCATTTCAAGTTATGGTATTTGAAAACAGAGTTCCCTCGAAGATGAACGCACTTGATGAAAGGTCTTTCAAGCTTTTCTATTCACTCTTAGAACGGAATTTCTTCGAGACTTTCAAATGCAAAATTGAATTCCTCTGTTACCTTTTCATTCGACCGAAATTTCTTTCTAGCCAAAACATTTTGAGTTTTGGGGAGAAAAAAATAAAGTGTGAGAGAATTCAAACTTCTATTCTGTTATGTTTTTTTTGTTTTTTTTTTTCTAATCGGAGCTAATACCGAATGCAGATCATCCGCTACGCATTAAGAAAATGCGACACCCACCTTGCGGAAAGCTTTGTTTTGAAATCAATTCATTACGTAATATGTGATCTACTGGGCGACAAAGATACCCATGGCTTCCTCTATTTCGCGCACTTTTATTCGGCGACATGCAAAATGTTTCGTCTACAGTGTCTGATGTGCTGATCGTTTGACTGTGTAGCGAACCTGATTCTTCGCATAACGTGTGCCACAAAGCTAGAGCTTCGAAACCCTTAAAACTCACTGTTGAAAACGAAGGCGATAAATCTCAAGGGCATCAAAGCTGAATTTATTGTAGTTTATATATATATATATATATATATATATAACGAAGTGAAGAACTCACGGTGAAAAACAACAAACAGCGGAAGTTTAATCCACAGTTTCGCCGAGAGACTCGGCTTCGTCAGGAGATGACTTTCAAGTGAGGGCATATCGCTGCGGCAAAAAAAAAGTCAAGAGCTAAGAGGGAAAAAAAAAAGGGGGGGGGGGGGGGTAGGCTGAGTACGTGTTTCTACATAGTAAACAACTTGACCTGAGCCCGCACCTCCTGCAGGGCGGCGAAATACAAAGTGCGCTTGAACGCTCACAGCAGTGGCTACAATAGGTCGTGAACGGGCGACGTCTTCTTGGCTGACGGCCCCCAACGAGCCAGTGCATCCCCGCGACGGAATCCCCTGGGGCGCCGTGCGTGTCAAGGAAACCGAAAATTCAAAGAATCGCAAAAACATGTTTGGCATGTCTTTCAACTTAAAAAGAAAAAGGAGAGAGGGTGCGGGGTCGGGGGGGGGGGGGGGGGGGGATGGCGGGGAAAGAGGGTACGTTTCTGAGTTGTGGTTAGTGAAACATGAAACACGCATGTACGAGAAAAGCACGGGAACAGCACGGTAGCATAGAAAATAACATTCACAATATAGGAGTAGTATTAGAATTATCACGTGGTCCAATTCCAGTCAAAAATACAGTACCACTACGAAAGGGTAGTCTAGGTTAATGCTCTTATTGATGCAAATTCCTGTACTCTCATTTATTCCTTTTTCTATAGTATTAAATTTGTATATGAGGTATGACTCCCGCTGTTCGCGCTCCCGGTTTGATCTAAATCCAGTTTCCAGTAATGTCACAGATAGTTCGTCGAAAGAATGCTTTGGGAGACGGAGGTGTTTTGAAAGAGGAAGGCCAGGATTAGTTTTAGAGTGAGGGAAGTTCCTGCGATACGGTTCAGAGCCACGCAGCACAAGACACCACAACCGATGGCAGAGTCTTCGACCCTGACTGCAATGATTTCCCGACGCTCGCTGACAGTACGACGTCAAGAGCCGACGTCTCGACTCCTCAGGGCTCAAGACCCTCCACAACACAACGCTACAACCTTCGGAGGATCGCCTCGCAAACCCCTCACCCAAAAGAAGACTGACTTGTTCCCGCTGAGTCCAATTCCTTTCCAACAAACAACAGTACAACCTTCCTTAAAGTAGGAAAATTAACTGACAAGCGAATTAGGCATGAACTCCACAAATCAACTCTAGAAGTGTACCTGAGCGCGGGGGTCCCACCGAAGGACATGTCACTGTCTCTCCCTCCGACTATTACAAACCTCGATCGATGCGACCGCTCGGAATGGGATTCCGTCCTTTTGGAGGCGTCACTTAAACTGGTGAAAATCGCAATCAGTCATAGCGAAAAACAAGTAAAAAAATGTAACACCTCAATAGCCACTATTATCCGATCGAATAACCCGCTTTCGGCGCATGAAACAACCTCCTTACAAGAATTTGAAAGAAAGAAACGCCGCGAGCTTGAAACATTCAAGTCACGGAAACTGGAGCGAGACAAGGTACCACACCCCATACTACCTCCATCCGCACCAAACCAAAATGATGCCGCTATTTAGCCAAACACTATAATTAGAGATAACATGCGCCGAGACCCAGATAACCCTTCAAATATTAACGAGGCGAGTGGTACATGCACTATCGTTAATTTGTCTGGAATGACTCTATCAGGCGAAGAAGAAAAAGTTATCTCTAAGGGACTAAACGTTTGCCCTGCCACTGGTTACATTGATGAGTTCCAAGTTCTCCGAGACCTAGATAACTTTGCCAGAAATTTAAGGTGTCGGGAATACTTTGTAGATAAACCGTCCAACTCCAAAAACACACAGCCACGTCCGACTAGCGATTGGACACCGAAGACCCGTCGCAACAACGGCCTTGACTTGTACATATCCGCTGTACAAAAGGATATCATGCGTGAATACCACAGGTACAAAGGGAGACGGGACAACCTAACTAAATCTGAGTGAACCTCTTTGAAATCACTAAGCACTAGAAAAGACATCACAATAAAACCTGCAGACAAGGCAGGGGCGATTGTGATTCTCAGTACTGACGATTATGTTCGGGAAGGGTGTCGCCAACTAAACGATCCAAAATTTCATGAGCGTCTTCCAGGCGACCCTACGAAACGCCACACTCAGATCGTAACGTCAGCTGAAACAACTTGTACAACGAGGTAAGATAACCGTTATGAATACAATATAATGAAGCCAAAACAACCATCCCCCGGTTGATTCTACATGCTTCCGAAAATTCACAAAAGTGGTAATCCAGGCCGTCCAATGATATCCGGAATAGAAACAATAACGGAACCTCTATCGGGCTATGTAGACGACCTAATTGGGTACCTACCTACAACTCTCCATTCGCATGTCAAGGACACTACGCACTTCCTCAGGGATATATGAAATTTACATATACCGAAAGGATCATATCTTGTAGCCCTGGACGCGTCTTCATTGTACACGAACATTCCACACGACGACGGAATAGCTTCGTTATTAGAGATGTACGAGACCCAAAGAAAACCAGAGAGCCCAGATGGTCACGTCTTTGCGACCCTAACAAGGCTTGTTTTAGAACTAAAGCTATTTGAATTTTATAATGAATATATTAGGCGGGTTAGGTGTACCGCAATGGGCACCAAGATGGCACCCAGTTACGCTAACATTTTTATGGGGAAGTTAGAGTCAAAATGTTTGTGCGATTACCCATCAAAACCACTACTGTACAAAAGATTCATAGATGATATATTTTTCATCTGGACACACGGCGAGGCGGACCTGCAAGAGTTCATAGTTAATTACAACGCTGTCCACCCATAGATCCGTTTCACTCACACTTACTCCCAAACCGACATTAACATTTTAGACGTGACCCTTACAGTAGAGGATAAAAAATTAACAACAAAGCTTTATCGCAAGCCAACAGATCGGCAACACTACCTTCATTACAAGAGCGACCACCCACGTCACT